TAACGGTCATACATTATGTATGAAGATAAAAATTTGTATTTTTCATCTATGAGATCGTTAAATTGATATTTCCAAAATCAGAATGAAAATCAAAGCAAAATTATGATTTTAACGCATATCTCTCTTAGTAAATTGACAAAACGTGATATCTTCATTCACTCGAAAGAAGGAATTTATAAGACTCAGTAAAAATGTTTACCTACCGTTAAACGATTGAAGAGTTGTTTAATCCTGAAAGCTGACTTTTGGGCTAAAAAAATGCAGTATTTCCATTATGCTGCAAAGGGGCAGCACATGTTCCGCCATCTTGGATCCAAATGTCCAAGTACAAAAAGTAAAATCGAGCGACACAGAGAGCCCACGATTAGTGTAGATGCCTTCTTGTCTTCTCGCAGCAATGAATCGCACATGCAACGGAGTTTCATATTTGATGACCAATAAAGAAAATATACCCGTGTCTTATGAATCTAAAGTTGTCCATACGTAGCTCTCCGTTTCTCTTGCATGGCTTATTTAGTACCACTACAATCAGTGTAATTGCGCAGTTACGTGTGACTGGAATGTCACTCCTGATCCCAAATTTTCCTACGTCCTATATAATCAAATAATAATATTGAGCACTTCAAGTAATTGCTTTTTTTTGAGAATATAAAGACATTTAATTTGTTGTTATAGACAATGAAACGCTGTTTTATCGTGATCATTGGAATTGCAAACATCGCATTAATAAATGCCTTCTTCCAGCAATGTAAGTAGCTTATATCGTGCCATTTGGAACTACAATCGTCGGAAAAAAGAAATGGAGGGCCTATTTTAAAAATCCCTTTGCCCACTGCGAAATTACATTGCAAAACTATTAGTTTCTCATTCTTGAAAAAATAAACATTGGAAAGCTAGGGAGACGGCAGGTTGTATTAACATATCATTTACTTTTTCTCGCATAATTTTGCAAAGGCTTGTGGGTTTTGCATGTGTGTGATTTGAGGTGGTATCATGATATTTCTGTATTCAATGTCTTTTATTGAATCGAGGTTAAAAGAATCTATTGAAAATGTTGATAAGGGACTGTGCAATAATCAGGGGCGGATCCAGCATTTTTTGCCACTAGTTTCCGGCTCAAAACAAACCTTACCAAGGCTGTTAAATGGGATACAATATATGTTTGAATATAAACTTATCTGATGATATGAATGATATTTTAAATAATTCGTTAGAGTTCGAACACAAAATGTTTGTATACTTTTTAAGAGATCATCTGACAACTGTTAGTTTAACTGTACACCTAAGGAGGATTACTTTCAGTGGCTTTACCTTACTTGTTACATTGTTGAGGCTTTCATCAGTCACTGGCTCGCCACGTGAAATTCCAGCTGAAGCCGCCATCTTTACACCTGTTAACTTAAAACATAAGAGTCAAGACAAAAGGAAACAATAAAATAGTTACTAACATACTTAAATTCGCTCGAGCGTAAACCACAGGTAATTCGCCAATTATTTCAATTCAGTCAATCGCCAGTACAACGGTCTTTCGACAATAACTGTAACATAAATCTGTAACAGTGTTCGAAGCGATTCCAGAGAGTCTAACGGAACACTGAGAGGACCTCACTAGGGTACCCTAGTCTATAAATACTTTTGTCACTGGTCTCTGGACTGGTTTCTGGCTTTTAAGCCAATCAAAATTGATCTACTGTTGTTATGATGATACACAGAAACTCAAAGCTCGATCCTGATTGGCTGAAAATAGCTTTCGGGTTTCCTGTGTGAACAATAATTTATCTGGAAACCAGTCGGGATTCCTATGTGAATCAGTGCTACGTCATTTTGCACTAGTGCACTCTCAAGCGATAGTCCGCTGTCTAAGAGCCATTGGGGGACTCTGGGCTCGTGATCGACAGTCTTGTGTCAAACATTTCGATGGGTCCCCTCCCACAAGAACAAAGAAGTTTATATTCCAAGTAGTAAATGTGGGTTTCCTGTGGTACAACTTTCAAAATGGCGGCCAAAGCGATCGTATTGCCATCTACCGGTAAAATACTCCAGTGAATACTCCATATTCTTTTCGTTTATATGATTTTATTTGAAGTATCGCTTTCAACTACATCT